TGATTGTTTCGTTCTAAACTGCAGCCCAAAAGTGTTGTCTTACCAGGTACATCCTTAAATGCAAAGAGATTTAATTTGCATTTACATTCACAGCTTGTATTCTCTTTTAAATGTTTGTTTTTTTGTGTGTTATTTTTTAAAAATGACTTTAATTTCAACTCTAAGTTAAATTCTATAGCATCACAGTTCTGTGGTCACTTCTCAGAATTCCTTGCAGGACATAAGTAACAGTTTACTCACGAAACCTAAAGGTGTAAATAAAATTAAACTGTGAAGCAGGAGGCCTGCAAGGTGGCTCGGTGGTTAGCACCTGTCCAGGTAAACCTGCCTTCACTCTGAGTCAGCTGGGACAGACTAGAATTAGAATAGAATTAGAATAAAACTTTATTGATCCCTTCGGTACAAGACCTCAGGGAAATTGCTATAATTCGATTCCAGCCCCCCATGACCCTGGTGAGGATTAAGAGGTGTATAGATAATGGATGGACACATACATTGAGACTAACATGAGTAAAGATCATGTTTCTGGCTCATTCACATCACTGTCTAAAAGTTAGATTCATGGCAGAAACATGCATTGCTCTTTGCCACAGTGTCTTCCTTATTTTAGTATTAGTACATGTTTTCAGGCTCTATTGACAGGGAGAGAGACAGCACATAGAGAGACTTGGGAGTGACATGCAGCAAATCCCCCGGCCGACTGGGATTGTAACGCCTCTGCCAGGGTGTTTTCTAATAATGGGGTCACTTGGACACGACTGGGGAAAAGGCTCACAACAGCAGTGACATGGAACAAAACGCAAGACAATGAACTGGAAGAAAATAAAGAACTAGAGTGATGGTTGCTGCAAACAAACTCATTTCCATTACACATAGTCATGATGGAAAGAAGATGTTGGGTTGTGTTGCTTTAACCCTTTAACTCCCAAAATCTACCAAAAGACATTTAAAGGCATGACACTCGTTATTAGAGCCGGAAACTGAACTATTTGTGTATAATGTGCAAATTGATCAAATACAACCTAAAAATGTTAAAATGACTTTATTCTACGTCTCATTTAAAGTTTTGTCAAAGTGCCAAACGGTTTGCACCAGATTCCATGAAAAACTAAACTTCTGCGCTCCGAGGGACTTTTCTCCTGAATGTCTTTACTCAATAAAATATCAATAACTC